AATTAAAACAAATTTACGTTGACATTTTTAATGGTATTTCAGCCTCTCACTCAAATTGGCTATGTAAATCTAGGTTTGAGGACAGCTGTAGTAAACTGTAGTCAAATCACTGGTGACGGAAAGCAAGCTAACCGTGTCCCATAAACACTGAGAGGCTACCTATAATGAACCTGCGTCATTAAAAAGGAGGGATAAAACTAAATGTTTAAACTATTGGTAAATTATATTACTGTTTGTGAGAAAGTGATAACCTGTATTGTACCAGCAGCCCAGGGTTCAAAGTCGACCTGCGGCTGTGTGTCATCCTCTCTCTCTCTCTCTATCTTTCTCTCCCTCTCTCTCTATACCTCCTTTCCTGTCTAAAATCACCAATATGGTTTTTTCAATCCAACTTTGAAAGCAATGCTTCTTAAATGAATCATAAAGTGTCCTGGATGGACAGAGTGGTTTGAAGAAAGACCTTTAACCTGATGGTGTTGTCAGGGCTCCAGAGCTTACCTGTTTAGGAACCTAAAAACAAAACAGAAGACAAGAAAAATGTTAGTTTGGAAAGTGGCTGAATCTGTATTTCAGTGTATTTAAGTATCCTGAGATCAGGCAAACTTCTTCAGTTCTCACCTCGTAAATGGCAAATCCAACTGTGTGCATGTCCTCTCCTTTTTTTCTGAGCTTTCTGCGGTTCTTCTGGATCAGACCGACCACAAAGCTGCAGCCTACTTCACCATCATCTGGGTCATCGTCTTCCTCATCCAGCTTGATCACAAACTGAGGATTCATCCAGAATGTGTCTGCAGAGGAAAAAAACAGCTTCCAGTTACATCAGGTTAACATCAGCTCTATGGGTCATCCCAGGATGTGTTCCAAATGTGCCACATGTACACCTTTACAGAGGATGAACAAACGCTACAGATATATAAATTAGGTCTAATCAGATGGGGTGACCCATGATCAATGCTAGGGTACCTTCAGGTGGGGTGTTCCTTACTTATTTATCATTCAACTTCTGAGAATGTGTATGTACCTTTTGTCACCCATTTAGTGCAACTTACAGGGGTGGTTCCTGCAGCCTCCGGCAGTTGATCCTCTCCTCCAGGTGCCATCAAACTTATTGACGCTCCAGTGTTTGACAGAGTCATCTTCAATGGCGTCGGGGGTCAGAGTGCACACCTCAATACGAGAGTAGTGACGCAAGAACTCGTTGAAGGACATCCTGCAGAGATAAGACAGGGAAAAGCTCTCACTCTGCTGCTCTAGCTAGAGCTGTCAGTACTGTGATCTCTGACTTGACAGATCAGTATAGTATGTTTATGTGGTAGTATGTTTCAGACACTCCACCTACCAGAACTCTCCGTCCTCTGCGTTGGCATGTGGACAGTCTCCCTCCACGTAGTTCCACTCAGAGGATCTGCATGAACACAATAATAATACTGTTAAAACGGAACAGACAGAAAACATAAAAACATGTTTAGTAAAATGTACACAAAAGGACATCATTTGGAGACCAATGAGGCACAGTAGGGCTGCTTTGCATCAACAGACTGGGATGTGCTCTGCAATTCTCATGGAGAGGACATTGATGACCTCATCGTATACAGAGTACAACAACTTCTACATGGACAATGTTGTTCCAACAGAGACTGTTCACTGTTTTCCAAACAACAAACCAAAGACATCAAGATCCTCCTGATAGAGGCAAGACGAGGAAGGAGGCGAAGGCTCTATTGCTGAAAACATCACCGAACGATGTCTGACTGTATTTTAAAGCCAAAATTGTTAAAATCAAGCAACGGCTGCACATTCGGATGCTGCTATGTAGGTTAGCTCCAAACGTCACTGTTTCTGTTTTAATCTGTTTTCGGCTTTATTACAGTCTACAGTCATCACAAAAGGAAGCATGGGGTTTGGATTAAAGAGAAGCAGACTTTGAGCAGGGGCGTGTCCATGGGGGGGGGGGAGCGGGCTCCATTTGAAGATAGAGGGGAGATACAAATAAGATCTAATGCATTCATGGGTACCAACCACATGCTAGCATGTCAGGAATAACACTGAACTTCTGGATAATGTCACGTCTGGACCAAATGGGACTGGACAAATACTGGTAAATGAGAGACTGTGCCCACATCTTTACAGAGACCTGCTCTATCAACACCCCGGATCCTTGAGGGCAGTCTGTGTTTCCATTGATGGCGCTTGGTGCTCAACTGCAGTCAAAGTGGATGGACACTGTTTTTATGTGAAGATGAAACCAGATTATTGTCACTATCTTGTTGTTGCTGCTGTTTAAATTCAACCAGATCACCTGCACAAGTATTTCCTCTATATATATTAATATAAATAACTATTTATATGTATATAAATAATAATAATTGTGTCATGTTGTATGTCTGTGTCGGGGGTTGCTTTGGTTACCCATCGCTCCACGCTCCGGTCCACTCCACCTGACCCCAGGGGTTCCTCATCCTCACCAGCTTCTCCTGCCGACCCCGGTATTTCACCTAGAGAGAAAAACAACAACTTTTCATCCTCCTCTTGTTTCAAATCATCTCCTTCTCATCTCACTTTCAGCAAGAGACGTTACCTCCACAGCGCCTGTCAGCGAGTAGGCATGGCCTTTCACCAGCTTCTGACGGGTGACGGCCTCTGAGTCTGCGGCGCTGGTGATCTGCAACAACAGGGACGGTTTATCATCAACAACAACAGAGTCCAAGCACCAAAAACAAAGATTCTGAAAAGAAAGCTGATTTCTTCAGATCTCTGTAGATGCAAAACTGAGTTCCTCCCACTGAATGAATGTGTCAGACTGAGCTACAGGATCCATCTAGATCATTAATTATTGGATGAATTAATGTTGGTCAGGAAATGTTTAAGTTGTATTTGAAACAACGAGAAAACTGTAGCTGCAGCTAGACACACAATAAGCACCACAAATTATGACATGATGAAGGTAAGTGCTTGTGTTCTCCCCTCCAGACTCACATCGATGGAGCAGCCCAGCAGCGCTCCCGCCTCCAGGGCCTTCTTGATGATCTGGAACAGGTTGGCGGGAGGTTGTTTGAGGTCGTAGTTCTCAGCGATGCCTCCAGTGAAATCTTCAAAGCCCTCTGTGGTGGAACCGCCAGACAATGCTTCATAGCATCCGTTCACTCTGTGACGAACACAGAGAACAGCAAAATGAACATTAAACTTTAATGAATTATTCTCTACCACTGATAAGGATTAAAGTACAATTCTAGTTTCATTTGTAAACACAAAAAAAAGACCGGTTGGTCAAGTTCGTCAAAGGCGATCAGCAAATATCATCCAAACTCTATTTCTCGTGTTCCCAAATCTCAGATATTAACTCGGTGTTATTATTACTGATAGAAGTGACAGACAGACTTTCAGAATAAGACTCAATGAGGGTCTGTTCCACCGGATGTTGTTTGTGAACAGAAGATGATGATCTTACTTGGCGTAGGCTTTCTCCAGCAGGGCGCTCCAGAACTCCCTCCCCTCCGCCGAGTGGACAAACATCAGCTCTCCGTCTTTAACTGGCAGACGGTCGTCAATCACCACGTCCACCCACTCCCCGAACTGCCAGAACTACACACACAGAGAGCGGGACACACAATGTAGACATTTACTTTGAAAGTCTCTCTTAATACTCTGAATTCTTCTTCCTGTGCAGTGGTTGGAACAGAAGTGATACTGACTGTGTGTTCAGTTTAAATATTATTTTACCACAGTTCATGTACAGCACCTGTGCTGATACCAAGGTCCGTTACCTGAAAGTGAAAGATGCCAGCGTAGTCGTCACCAAAGCCCTGGTCTGTGGGAACCACTCTGGCCATCACATATTCATTCAGGGTCAGAGAGGCGATGGCCGCCAACAGCCAGCAGTCACCTGCACACACAGGTCAGGTGACAATGACATCAGAGGTTTCATCAATATCTCACAGTAAAAGTACAGGTTTGTCATTTTTTAAAAGTGGTTTAATGATTATAGATTATTAATTGAATCAACTCCATATAGAACATAGCTCTAGAGTTCATACACTATTTATTGATTATAGATTTAATATAGATAAATCTCTAATCTAAGCAAATCAGATGATGGTCACACCAGCCATATTTCCTGTCTCCACTAGGGGGCGCTGTGACTATGACTGAATGTTGGTGCAGATAGGACAAAGTAAACTGAAGTTATGCCAGGGACACGCTGATCCACACATGGTCAAAAGTAGCACAACTATGAATCATGATGGTCTGAACAATTCCCTCACAGAGTTAGTTAGAAACCAAAACGCCATAATGACAACTAAATGAAGACTTCCTGTTGGTTTCAGGGCTAGGGTCCAAGAGGAGTACCCAGAGAATACGCTTTCACTAACAGAGAATTTGAAGTTTTCTAACATGTTGCCAGAAAAATAATCTTAATTTAATTGTTTCACAGCGGCCGCAATAAAACAGTATTTGAGATTAAAGATTGTTTAATCAGACAGGCAGACAGACAGACAGACAGACAGGCAGGCAGGCAGGCAGGCAGACAGACAGACAGACAGATCACAGCAGTGTAGAAACAATCTTTACAGTCAACAGTTTCACAACAGCAGTCAGATCTGCTGCTGCGGTTTAATGGAGGCACGCAACACTGAGTCATTACCACAACACTGTGTGTGTGTGTGTGTGTGTGTGTGTGTGTGTGTGTGTGTGTGTGTGTGTGTGTGCGTGCGAGCGTGTGTGTGTGTTCAGGGTGTGTCCTCATTGGTTGGCAGGACATATCTTCTCTCTCTCTCTCTCGCTCTCTCGCTCTCTCTCTGATGTTTGGGTGTATGTCTCTCACCCTCTAACAATAGCAGGCAGGCCTCTTCCTGCCCGCTGCTTCCTGCTTGTCCAATCAGGGCTCAGCATGGTAGCGCCCTCTAATTACAGCAGGATCCAGGTCCTCAGCTGGTTCACATTAACTGCTCTGGTTAGAAATGTTCTGCTGTAAACAGGGTTCTGTCTGTCTGTCTGTTAGGTTCATGTAGGAATCCAGATCAGTTTCATACTGAACCCTGATTGGTTCCAGACCAGTTGTGACATCATAAAGCCTTTTATTGCCTTTAATCAATAGAGATAAGAGTGACAGGAAAGGGGGGGGAGAGGGAGGACAACACACCCTGAACCGCTACAGCAGGGACTCAGCCTGGTGCCTGGGGGGCCAGGGCTACCAGGTGAGGGGGCCAGGGCTACCAGGGCTACCAGGTGAGGGGGCCTGGGCTACCAGGGCTACCAGGTGAGGGGGCCAGGGCTACCAGGTGAGGGGGCCAGGGCTACCAGGGCTACCAGGTGAGGGGGCCTGGGCTACCAGGGCTACCAGGTGAGGGGGCCAGGGCTACCAGGGCTACCAGGTGAGGGGGCCTTGGCTACCAGGGCTACCAGGTGAGGGGGCCAGGGCTACCAGGTGAGGGGGCCAGGGCTACCAGGGCTACCAGGTGAGGGGGCCTTGGCTACCAGGGCTACCAGGTGAGGGGGCCTGGCAGAGCGAAATAAACTGACTCAGTGACATATTTTCAGTATATTTCATATTGATCAATACCAATAAGCAGAGAACAGCTAATAAACTCTACAATGAACCCAAACAGTGAACACATTAACTATTATCTCCAAAGGAGATAATGCCGGCCCACAATTCATTGCAGGAGCAACATTTAAAAAGCCACCCGTTTCTATTTAATGAGTTAACGTTATCTGTACTTAGCCTGTCTTAATGAGTTATTTCCTTTTCCTTGTTTGTTGTTGTTGTTGTTGTTGTTTGTGTTGCTTTGTCATGGCTCATATGTCTCAGGTCTTAATGTTAATCACGTCTCTTGCACTAATACAAACATTTAATAAATAAATATATTTTTAAAAGACGCCTGTTCACGAATACAAACGATGAAAAAAAATGAATCTAGGTTAGCATCTACATTAGCGTCTAGGTTAGCGTCTACAGATTTATATATTAATATCAACTTTATTATAGTTTGTTTAACTTTATATCAAACTGCAGCTCCTCAGATTTGCATATTGTGATTTTGATAATATTTTGATTAATAATTGTGTAATCATTATTACACAGATAAAGATAAAGAGCAGTTGGACTCTCTGCTCTTAAACTGTAATCTGCAGATATAAAGGATGATAGAGTCTACTAATATCTATAATAAATAGAGCAATATATTGTATAGTGAGTGTACAGCTGTTTATTAGTCTAATATCTTTATAATATCTGTCTAATCCAATCCAATCCTACTTCATTTGTTAAGCACTTTAAAACAACCAAAGCATAATAACTATAATATCTGTGTAATATCTGCATAATATCTGTATAATAACTATAATATCTGTGTAATATCTGTATAATAACTATAATATCTGTGTAATATCTGTATAATAACTATAATATCTGTGTAATATCTGTGTAATATCTGTGTAATATCTGTATAATAACTATAATATCTGTGTAATATCTGCATAATATCTGTATAATAACTGTAATATCTGTGTAATATCTGTATAATAACTATAATATCTGTGTAATATCTGTATAATATCTGTATAATAGCTATAATATCTGTGTAATATCTGTATAATAGCTATAATATCTGTGTAATATCTGTATAATAGCTATAATATCTGTGTAATATCTGTATAATAACTGTAATATCTGTATAATATCTGTATAATAACTATAATATCTGTGTAATATCTGTATAATATCTGTATAATAGCTATATCTGTATAATATCTGTATACTAACTATAATAGCTGTGTAATATCTGTGTAATATCTGTATAATATCTGTATAATAGCTATAATATCTGTGTAATAACTGTATAATATCTGTATAATAACTATAATATCTGTGTAATATCTGTATAATAGCTATAATATCTGTGTAATAACTGTATAATATCTGTATAATAACTATAATATCTGTGTTATATCTGTATAATAGCTATAATATCTGTGTAATATCTGTATAATATCTGTATAATAGCTATAATATCTGTGTAATATCTGTGTAATATCTGTATAATAGCTATAATATCTGTATAATATCTGTATAATAACTATAATATCTGTGTAATATCTGTGTAATATCTGTATAATAACTATAATATCTGTGTAATATCTGTATAATATCTGTATAATAACTATAATATCTGTGTAATAACTGTATAATATCTGTATAATAACTATAATATCTGTGTAATATCTGTATAATATCTGTATAATAACTATAATATCTGTGTAATATCTGTATAATAACTATAATATCTGTGTAATATCTGTATAATAACTATAATATCTGTGTAATATCTGTATAATATCTGTATAATAACTATAATATCTGTGTAATATCTGTATAATAACTATAATATCTGTGTAATATCTGTGTAATATCTGTGTAATATCTGTCTAATAGCTATAATATCTGTGTAATATCTGTATAATATCAGTGTAATAAGATTTTTTGAGGTGTTTCCATCAGGAGGGGTAAACGAAACAGCATCACTTCAGTCTGAAACATAAAATGTTTCTTCCTGCTAACATGTTCCAACAAGCTTCATTCTGAAGAAAACTGCAACGTCCCCCTGACCTCTGACCTCCAGACGAGTTCAGACTCACCCAAACAGGACAGTGCCTGTCTGCCTGTCTGTCTGCCTGTCTCCCTGTCTGCACATGAGCAGCAGCTTCTCTGAATCCATGAGTCTGGTGTGTTCAGGGACAGTCTGGAGGCTGTGGTGTGTTCAGGGACAGTCTGGAAGTTGTGGTGTGTTCAGGGACAGTCTGAAGGCTGTGGTGTGTTCAGGGACAGTCTGAAGGCTGTGGTGTGTTCAGGGACAGTCTGGAGGCTGTGGTGTGTTCAGGGACAGTCTGGAAGTTGTGGTGTGTTCAGGGACAGTCTGAAGGCTGTGGTGTGTTCAGGACCAGTCTGGAGGCTGTGGTGTGTTCAGGGACAGTCTGAAGGCTGTGGTGTGTTCAGGGACAGTCTGGAGGTTGTGGTGTGTTCAGGACCAGTCTGGAGGCTGTGGTGTGTTCAGGGACAGTCTGGAAGTTGTGGTGTGTTCAGGGACAGTCTGAAGGCTGTGGTGTGTTCAGGACCAGTCTGGAGGCTGTGGTGTGTTCAGGGACAGTCTGGAGGCTGTGGTGTGTTCAAGGACAGTCTGGAGGCTGTGGTGTGTTCCTGACCAGTCTGGAGGACGTGGTGTGTTCAGGGACAGTCTGGAGGACGTGGTGTGTTCAGGGACAGTCTGAAGGCTGTGGTGTGTTCAAGGACAGTCTGGAGGCTGTAGTGTGTTCGGGGACAGTCTGAAGGCTGTTGTGTGTTCGGGGACAGTCTGGAGGCTGTGGTGTGTTCGGGGACAGTCTGGAGGCTGTGGTGTGTTCGGGGACAGTCTGGAGGCTGTGGTGTGTTCGGGGACAGTCTGGAGGCTGTGGTGTGTTCAGGGACAGTCTGGAGGCTGTAGTGTGTTCGGGGACAGTCTGAAGGCTGTAGTGTGTTCGGGGACAGTCTGGAGGCTGTAGTGTGTTCGGGGACAGTCTGAAGGCTGTGGTGTGTTCGGGGACAGTCTGGAGGCTGTGGTGTGTTCGGGGACAGTCTGGAGGCTGTGGTGTGTTCGGGGACAGTCTGGAGGCTGTGGTGTGTTCGGGGACAGTCTGAAGGCTGTTGTGTGTTCGGGGACAGTCTGGAGGCTGTGGTGTGTTCGGGGACAGTCTGGAGGCTGTGGTGTGTTCGGGGACAGTCTGGAGGCTGTGGTGTGTTCAATGAAAACTTACCCAGAGCTCCCTGGCAGATGTCGGTCCTGGTGGCTCCACCCATGATGAATTCAGGATTAGAGACCAGTTCCTGACAGACGAGAGACCAGAAACTAACTCAATGTTCAATGCCCACCGTTAACTTTCCATAAATAGAAGTTAATAACAGCCATTTCAAACAGAGGCTCTGGCTTAGGGGCCCCATGACCTTCAAGACCCCCAGGACTATCTGTCCATTATTAGATGGTCCATTCTGGTCCTAAGTTAGTCTCAGTCCTGTTTGAGCCCCAGTGGTTAGTGGACACCTTTACTTAATCGTTTTTCCTGTTTAAATAATTCCTGAAATTCCTGAAATACCTGAGACCTGAAGGACTTTAAATCCTGAGGCTGACCTTTTCAAACTGACAGTTCCTCTCAGCTCTCAATGTTTCTGTGTTCTCTCTCTACAACTACAAGCTCCCTCACATTTTAAAACACCTTGAATCTACTTTCATCTACTATCTTACACTGTTGAAATAGATGCGTAGATATTACAGAGTCACTGTACCGTTTCAACTCTTATCAGTTATTAGCACTAGCACTGTATAGATTTACTGTTTGTAGTTCAGATTTGAGATGTTCTGTCTTAAAACTGTTGCTCTCCGCAAAACTCTGTCTACAATCGTCACTCCCTCCTCTTCCTCCTCCTCTTCCTCTGCTCTCTACTTCCTGCTTCTGAAAAACCTCGGTGACACATCTGCACGAGGACTCAGCTCAATGCACGAGTGTGTTCGAGTACTTTTTATTGTATTTTTAAAACCTTCAAAATAAACAGTACGGTTGCCATACGAGCAGCAGGAAGTGTGTGTGTGTGTGTGTGTGTGTTGTAACGTCTCCTCCCTGTGTGTGTGTAGTGACTCATCTCACTGGTATGCAGATCTCTGACTCACTGCTTTAATGTTCAGATATTCCTGCAGTAGTCACAATATAATTAACTGTGTGTACAGAAAAAAGCAGTGATCACTCTGTATGGGATTATTTTTTTGGCTTCCTATTGCCTTTATTTGATAGAGACAGCTGAAGATAGACAGGAGAGGTGGGTAGAGAGGGTGAGGGGTGACACGCAGCAAAGGGCCGCAGGTCTGATTCGAACCCGCTGCAGCAGCTCTGTACATGGGTTGCCAGCTCTACCGACTGAGCTAACCGGGCACCCCTGTATGGGATTATTAATCATTATTTATGATCTTAGTAAATACTGAAAACTGTTGATATATTCCATAATAAAACAACAGGTATATTTATTATTTCAATCTGTTTTAGATTTTATAATACTTATAATTATAATTAATACAATAATTATTTTTGATAGTTGCATTATTCTATACATTATACAGTCTAATATACATTTAATTTGTATCCATTAATAAAATATAAAAATACATTGTTTATGCTGTAAATTTCAGTGACTGGTGTTTAAGGAAGAGCACAGTGCGCTCGGTACAGTGCTATAGATACCGGGCATAGGTCAGTGCTGTAGCTAGGTTAGGTGTATATGTACAGTATATATGTTATATAATGTTAGTTAGGAGAAAGGTGTTCAGATTGATGGTGACTTCAGCTGGAATGAACCAACACACTGACAACCTGCTGCTGTGATTATCTCCTGAATAATCAGTCTATATATTCCTCTGATAATATCTCTGTAATAATCATATCATTTATATGATTTATAGATTTACAGTGCAGAGGACAGAGGATTGAAAACTGTAGAATAATTTATTTGGGGTTATAGTCCAAGAGGAGTACCCAGTTTATAATTTTGTATTTATAGGATTTTATTAAAGTCTTTACACTATATTGTATATGTATGTGTATAATATCATTATTAAATTATGTCTACAGTCTGATTATCAACGGTTGTTTATTATTGCAGTATTTTATATTCCAGCACAGTACAGGGATGGAAACTGTAATCTGCAGATAAAAAGGATGATAGAGTCTAATAATATCTGTTATATTTATAATAAATTCAGCAATATATTGTATAGTGAGTGTACAGCTTCTTATAAGTCTAATATCTTTATAATATCTGTCTAATAACTATAATATCTGTCTAATATCAGTCTAATAACAATAATATCTGTCTAATATCTGTCTAATAACTATAATATCTGTCTAATAACTATAATATCTGTCTAATATCATAATAACTATAATATCTGTCTAATATCATAATAACTATAATATCTGTCTAATATCATAATAACTAAAATATCTGTGTAATATCTATCTAATAACTCTACTGTTAGTGTAATATCTGTATAATATCAGTCTAATAAGATATTTGGAGGTGTTTCCATCAGGAGGGGTGTCAGTATCAGAGTTACGAGTCGCCTGGAGGGTATTTTTCTATCATCCACCCCGCCCCTCCAACCCCGCCCACTCAACCTCAATAAACTAAACCACTTCTCCTGGACCAAATCCTGCTCCAGAACCAGGCCCGGGTTTTTGCTTACCGTGGGTCTCTTCCAGGTGACTCCCCGGACCTTGTAGGAGCTCCGACCCAGCTCGTTGAAGCCCAGGGACTCGGGCGCGTCGGGGAAGGTCGGGTCGCAGAAGAGTTTTCCGGCGGAGCGGCACTGCGCCCGCAGAGCCGCGAAGTTCTGGTTCAGGTAGGGAACCGCGTTCGCGTTGGTGCCGAACCCCGCAGCCAGGGCCCGCTTCTTAGCCAGAGTGGACGCCACGCCGGACATGATGGAAGATACAGAGACAGAGAGACAAAGACTCCGCTTCTTCTTCTGGACGAACTTTTCCTCTCAGAGTCAGACCTCCTCCAGACCTCCGCCCTGAAAACCAGACCGGCAGAGGAGGAGCCAGATCTCTCTCACTCTCTCTCTCTCTCTCTCTCACGCTCTCTCTCCTGCTGTCTGACAGTGTCTCTCTACCAACCCCCTTTCTCTCTCTGCTTTTTAAAGCAGGAAACAAACAGTCGAAAGCTACAGAAAAATAAATGGCCAAAAGTATGTGGACAGCCCTGCCCTTGTTGTCTACAGGACAAAAGTTTGTGGAGAGTTCGTGGAAGCAAATTAGAGCTACTGAGTGAATGAGACTGGAAGAACAACAACAGACACACCTTCGCTTTCTAGGAACATCAGAGAGTTCAAAGAAAACCTGACAGAGTCACACAGAAACATAAAGCTGATCAATACAAACAAACAGAACATAAAGTTAATCAAACAGAACATAAAGTTAATCAATACAAACAAACAGAACATAAAGTTAATCAATACGAACAAACAGAACATAAAGCTGATCAATAGAAACAAACAGAACATAAAGCTGATCAATACAAACAAACAGAACATAAAGCTGATCAATAGAAACAAACAGAACATAAAGCTGATCAATAGAAACAAACAGAACATAAAGCTGATCAATAGAAACAAACAGAACATAAAGCTGATCAATAGAAACAAACAACAGTTAATCAATACAAACAAACAGAACATAAAGCTGATCAATAGAAACAAACAGATCATAAAGCTGATCAATACAAACAAACAGAACATAAAGTTAATCAATACGAACAAACAAACATTAAGTTAATCAAACAGAACATAAAGTTAATCAAACAGAACATAAAGTTAATCAATGCAAACAAACAGAACATAAAGCTGATCAATACAAACAAACAGAACATAAAGCTGATCAATAGAAACAAACAACAGTTAATCAATACAAACAAACAGAACATAAAGTTAATCAATACGAACAAACAGAACATAAAGTTAATCAAACAGAACATAAAGTTAATCAAACAGAACATAAAGTTAATCAAACAGAACATAAAGTTAATCAATGCAAACAAACAGAACATAAAGCTGATCAATACAAACAAACAGAACATAAAGCTGATCAATACAAACACGTTGTTTATCTATCATCAATCACAACATTAGTCTCTAATTATTGGACTTGCAGAATAAAGTTAATATGACCGGGTGACCTCTATGAACAGCTAAAAGGTCATATTAGTCAATTAAACATAATAATTGAAATAAAATAAAAAAATAAAATTGAGTTAGAAATATATAAAAGACAAATATTTGACCTGTTTTTTAAATTTTATTTAATTAAATAAAAATAAGAAACAGTAATTTAAAAGATTTCTGAATGTAGAAACATGAAAACACTCCACCCATCAGCTTGCACCACCGCTGCTAAAATAACAAACGCTCGAGCTATTATAGTTTTACTTCAGATGAATTTAAACATGATAATGTAAGTTTTTAGACGGTTAATAATGTCATTATTGTTGCTATAAAGAAAATAGACAGTACAGACCTAAGCCCTGCTTCTACAGCACTGACCTAAGCCCTGCTTCTACAGCACTTGTCTTGTTCAGCTTCATCTCAATATGCTATGTACTGATTATAGTAAAGATTGGATAAAATATGTGCCAAAAAAAACAGTCTCTGCAGTCTGTAGTCTACATACTGCAGAGACTGCAGAGACTGCAGAGACTACAGACACCTGAAACAGAGACTGCAGACACTGCAGAGACTACAGAGACTCCAGAGACTGCAGCGACTACAGAGACTGCAGAGACTACAGACTCCAGAGACTACAGAGACTCCAGACTCCAGAAACTGCAGAGACTACAGAGACTACAGACTACAGAGACTACAGAGACTCCAGACTCCAGAAACTGCAGAGACTACAGACTACAGAGACTACAGAGCCTCCAGACTCCAGAAACTGCAGAGACTACAGAGACTACAGACTCCAGAGACTACAGAGACTGCAGAGACTGCAGAGACTACAGAGACTACAGAGACTACAGACTACAGAGACTGCAGAGACTGCAGAGACTACAGACTCCAGAGACTACAGACTGCAGAGACTGCAGAGACTACAGAGACTGCAGAGACTACAGAGACTACAGACTCCAGAGACTACAGAGACTACAGACTGCAGAGACTGCAGAGACAACAGAGACTACAGAGACTACAGAGACTACAGAGACTGCAGAGACTCCAGAGACTGCAGAGACTCCAGAGACTCCAGAGACTCCAGAGACTACAGACTACGGTAACGACACCCGTTTACGCCAATCGGAGGTCACTAAGATTAATGTGGAGTCGGTGTGTAACTATGCTAAGACAATGTCGGACACCGTAGTTTTCTCTGGACCCCTGCCCAATGTGACCAGTGATGACATGTATAGCCGCATGTCGTCATTCCACCGCTGGCTGTCGAGGTGGTGTCCAGCAAACGATGTGGGCTTCATTGATAACTGGAAGCCTTTTTGGGGAAAACCTGGTCTGATTAGGAGAGACGGCATCCATCCCACTTTGGATGGAGCGGCTCTCTTATCTAGAAATATGGCGAAGTTTATCTCTAAAACCTGACAGTCCAGAGTTAGGACCAGGAAGCAGAGCTGCTGTCTTACACACTTCTCTGCGCTTTCTTTAGAACAGTCACCCACCCAAAACCCCATAGAGACTGTGTCTGTCCCCCGACCACCTAAACTATTTAAAGAAATAAAAACAAGAGGAGTTCAACATAAAAATCTAATAAAAATTAAAACCAACTCCTCAGTAGCACAAAATAAGAGAATGAAATGTGGGCTGTTAAATATCAGGTCTCTGTCCTCTAAAGCTGTTTTAGTGAATGAATTAATATCAGATTATGATATTGATTTACTTTGTCTTACTGAGACCTGGTTGTCCCACGAGGAGTATGTTAGCCTAAATGAATCCACCCCCCCAGTCATATTAATACTCACATTCCTCGAGGCACAGGCCGAGGAGGTGGAGTAGCAGCTATATATGATTCGAGCGTTTTAATGGACCCTAAACCTAAACTAAATTATAATTCATTTGAAAGCCTTGTTCTTGGTCTTTCTCACCCAAACTGGAAAACACTGCAGCCAGTTCTATTTGTTATAGTGTACCGCGCTCCTGGACCGTACTCTGATTTTATATCTGAATTTTCAGAGTTTCTATCAAGCTTAGTCCTTAAATCAGATAAAGTAATTATTGTAGGTGATTTTAATATTCATGTGGATGTTGACAATGACAGCCTTAGTAATGCATTTATATCATTAATAGACTCAATTGGCTTCTGTCAGAGTGTAAATAAACCAACTCATTGTTTTAATCACACTCTTGACCTTGTTTTATCATATGGCATTGATATTGAACATTTAATAGTCTTCCCACATAATCCTTTCCTATCTGACCATTATTTAGTAACTTTTGAATTCATACTATTAGATTATAAGCCATTAGGCAAAACTTCCCACAGCAGATGTCTATCTGACAGTGCTGTAGCTAAATTTAAGGAGGAGATTCCTTCAGTGTTTAATTCAATGCCATGTCTGAATTTAACAGAGTCCTATAATGACTTTGGTCCCTCTGAAATTGATAATCTTGTCGATAGTGCTACAGGCTCACTACGATCAACATTAGACTCTATCGCTCCTATAAAAAGGAAATTATTAAAACATAGGAGACTAGCACCTTGGTATAACCACCAAACCCGCCAGTTAAAACAAATAGCTAGAAAATCTGAAAGGAAATGGCGCTCTTCCAAATTATCAGAATATCGCTCAAATTGGCAAAATAATCTTAAAACTTATAGAAAGGCCCTCCGTAATGCCAGAGGAGCCTATTACTCAGCACTAATAGAAGAAAATAAGAACAACCCTAGGTTCCTCTTCAGCACTGTAGCCAGGCTGATAGAGAGTCACAGCTCTATCGAGCCACATATCCCCATAAACTTAAGTAGCAATGACTTCATGAGCTTCTTCTATAATAAAATTATTACTATTAGAGAAAAAATTAATCACCAACTGCCATCAACGGTTATCAGTGGCTCTCCAAGTTCAGGGACTTCTGTCAATGTAAACTTAGATGTATATTTAGACTGTTTTTCTGCTATCGATCTTCATCAGTTAACTTCAATCATTTCTTCATCGAAGCCATCAACCTGTCTATTAGACCCGATCCCAACTAGGCTGCTTAAAGAAGTTGTTCCCTTAATTGGCACTTCTTTACTGGATATGATTAATCTTTCTTTATTATCAGGATATGTACCACAGTCCTTTAAAGTAGCTGTAATTAAACCCCTTCTTAAAAAGTCCACTCTTGACCCAGGGGTTTTAGCCAACTATAGACCGATTTCTAACCTCCCCTTCCTCTCTAAGATTCTGGAGAAAGTAGTCGCCAAAGAGTTGTGTGACTTTCTACATAACAATAGTTTATTTGAGGATTTTCAGTCAGGATTTAAAGTTCATCACAGCACAGAGACAGCTCTGGTTACAGTTAATAATGACCTTCTGATTGCTTTTGACAATTGACTTGTCTCTGTACTTGTATTATTAGATCTTAGTGCTGCATTTGACACCATTGACCATAATATTCTTTTACAGAGACTTGAGCATCAAATTGGCATTAAAGGAACTGCCCTAACCTGGTTTAAGTCATACTTATCAGATCGTTCTCAGTTTGTACATGTTAACGATGAATCCTCCATAAATACTAAAGTTAGTCATGGAGTTCCACAAGGTTCTGTACTTGGACCAATACTGTATACTTTATATATGCTCCCTTTAGGCAACATTATTAGGAATCACTCCATTAACTTTCACTGTTATGCAGATGATACGCAGTTATATCTATCAATCAAACCCAATGAAATTAATCAATTATCTAAATTACAAACATGTCTTAAGGACATAAAATCCTGGATGACCTGCAATTTTCTGATGTTAAACTCAGAAAAAACCGAAATTCTTGTTCTTGGCCCCAAAAACCTTAGAGACTCATTGTCTAAAGATATAGTCACTCTAGATGGCATTACCTTGGCCTCTAGCACCACTGTCAGGAATCTTGGAGTTATCTTTGATCAGGATTTGTCATTTAACTCCCACATAAAGCAGACCTCTAGGACTGCCTTCTTTCATTTACGTAATATTAGAAAAATTAGACACATACTATCACAGACAGATGCAGAAAAACTAATCCATGCATTTGTTACTTCAAGGCTGGATTACTGCAACTCTTTATTATCAGGTTGCCCCAATAAGTCCATTAAAACGCTCCAATTAATTCAGAACGCTGCAGCACGAGTACTGACAGGAACTAGAAAAAGAGATCACATCTCTCCTGTACTAGCTACTCTGCATTGGCTCCCTATAAAATGTAGAATTGAATTTAAAATCCTCCTCCTCACCTATAAAGCTCTTCATGGTCAGGCCCCTTCATATCTTAAAGAGCTCATAGTACCCTATTACCCCACTAGAACACTACGTTCTCTGAATGCTGGGCTACTTGTGGTTCCTATAGTCTCTAAAAGTAGAACAGGAGCCAGAGCCTTCAGTTACCAAGCTCCTCTCCTGTGGAACCAGCTTCCAGTTGTGGTTCGGGAGGCAGACACCCTCACCACATTCAAGAGTAGGCTTAAGACATTCCTCTTTGATAAAGCTTATAGTTAGGGCTGGATCAGGTGAGTCCTGAACCATCCCTTAGTTATGCTGCTATAGGCCTAGACTATCGGGGGATTTCCCATGGTGCACTGAGCTACTCTCTTCCTCTCTCTTTCTGCACTCATTCATGTCCCTTTAATGCATGTTACTAACTCCACTTCTTCCCCAGAGTTCTTGTGCTTTCTCGTCTCGCAGGTTCTCATGGATCCTGGTGGAGCCTCCTGCCATGGTCCTGCTTGACTGCCATTGCCAATACTGTTGTTGCTGTGCACCTGTCTGTCTGTCTGTCTCTCGCTCTCTCTCTCTGCCTCTCTCTCTCTCTCTCTCTCTCTCTCTCTCTCTCTCTCTCTCTCTCTCTCTCCCTCTCTCTCTCTCTCTCTCTCTCTCACCCCAACTGGTCGAGACAGACGACCACCCACCTAGAGCCGGAGGATCTGTCCTAGGTTTCTGCCTTTTAACAGGCAGTTTTTCCTTGCCCTTGTCGCCAAGTGCTTGCTCATGGTGGTACTGTTGGGTCTCTGTAATTAATGTTAAAGAGTTCGGTCTAGACCTGCTCTATTTGAAAAGTGTCCTGAGATAACTTCTGTTATGAATTGGCGCTATACAAATAAAATTGAATTGAATTGAATTGTAGTCTCTGCAGTCTCTGCAGTCTCTGCAGTCTCTTCAGTCTCTTCAGTCTCTGTAGTCTCTGTAGTCTCTGTAGTCTGTAGTCTCTGTAGTCTCTGTAGTCTCTGTAGTCTCTGCAGTTTCTGGAGTCTGTAGTCTCTGTAGTCTCTGTAGTCTCTGTAGTCTCTTGAGTCTCTGCAGTCTCTGGAGTCTCTGTAGTCTGAAATCTCTGTAGTCTCTGTAGTCTCTGGAGTCTCTGCAGTCTCTGGAGTCTGTAGTCTCTGCAGTCTCTGTTGTTTCTGGTGTCTGTAGTCTCTGTAGTCTCTGCAGTCTCTGGAGTCTCTGCAGTCTCTGGAGTCTCTGTAGTCTCTGAAATCTCTGTAGTCTCTGTAGTCTCTGGAGTCTCTGCAGTCTCTGGAGTCTGTAGTCTCTGCAGTCTCTGTAGTTTCTGGTCTCTGCAGTCCCCTCAGTCTCTGCAGTCTCTGCAATATGTAGTCTCTGGAGTCTGTAGTCTCTGCAGTCTCTGTAGTCTCTGCAGTCTCTGTAGTCTCTGCAGTGTCGGCAGTGTCTGCAGTCTCTGGAGTCTCTGTAGTCTCTGTAGTCTGTAGTCTTTGTAGTCTCTGTAGTCTCTGGAGTCTGGAGTCTGGAGTCTGTAGTATCTGCAGTCTCTGCAGTCTCTGTAGTCTCTGCAGTCTCTGGAGTCTCTGTAGTCTCTGCAGTCTATAGTCTCTGGTGTCTGTAGTCTCTGCAGTCTCTGCAGTCTCTGCAGTATGGAGTCTCTGTAGTCACTGCAGTCTCTGGAGTCTGTAGTCTCTGCAGTCTCTGCAGTCTCTGCAGTCTCTGGAGTCTCTGGAGTCTGTAGTCTCTGTAGTCTCTGTAGTCTCTGGAGTCTGTAGTCTCTGTAGTCTCTGCAGTCTCTGCAGTCTCTGTAGTCTCTGTAGTCTCTGCAGTCTCTGTAGTCTCTGGAGTCTTTAGTCTCTACAGTCTCTGCAGTCTCTGTAGTCTGTAGTCTCTGTAGTCTCTGCAGTCTCTGCGGTCTCTGGATTCTGTAGTCTCTGCAGTCTCTGCAGTCTCTGTAGTCTCTAGAGTTTCTGTCTCTAGAGTTTCTGCAGTCTGTAGAGTCTCTGGAGTCTCTGTAGCTCCACATTTGATCTAGTTCAGTTCAGCTGCATTAAGGTGAGTCAAGGTGGATTGAGGCATTTGATCCAGGCCTTTATCTGCTTGTAAGGAGGACATTGGTGTAGTCTCTGTAGTCTGTAGTCTCTGTAGTCTCTGCAGTCTCTGCAGTCTGTGGAGTCTGTAGTCTCTGCAGTTTCTGGAGTCTATAGTCTCTGTAGTCTCTGGAGTCTGTAGTCTCTGTAGTCTCTGCAGTCTCTGGAGTCTGCAGTCTCTGGAGTCTGTAGTCTCTGTAGTCTCTGTAGTCTCTGCAGTATGTAGTCTCTGGAGTCTGTAGTCTCTGCAGTCTCTGTAGTCTCTGAAGTCTCTGTAGTCTCTGCGGTCTCTGCAGTCTCTGTAGTCTCTGTAGTCTGGAGTCTCTGTAGTCTCTGGAGTCTGTAGTCTCTGTAGTCTGTAGTCTCTGTAGTCTCTGGAGTCTGTAGTCTCTGTAGTCTCTGCAGTTTCTGGAGTCTGTAGTCTCTGTAGTCTCTGTAGTCTCTGCAGTCTCTGGAGTCTGCAGTCTCTGGAGTCTGTAGTCTCTGTAGTCTCTGTAGTCTCTGCGGTCTCTGCAGTCTCTGAAGTCTCTGTAGTCTGGAGTCTCTGTAGTCTCTGGAGTCTGTAGTCTCTGTAGTCTCTGTAGTCTCTGTAGTCTGTAGTCTCTGTAGTCTCTGGAGTCTGTAGTCTCTGTAGTCTCTGCAGTTTCTGGAGTCTGTAGTCTCTGTAGTCTCTGTAGTCTCTGTAGTCTCTGCAGTTTCTGGAGTCTGTAGTCTCTGTAGTCTCTGTAGTCTCCGTACTCTCTGTAGTCTGTAGTCTCTGGAGTCTGTAGTCTCTGTAGTCTCTGGAGTCTGCAGTCTCTGGAGTCTCTGGAGTCTGTTGTCTCGGGAGTCTCTGGAGTCTGTAGTCTCTGCAGTCTCTGCAGTCTCTGCAGCCTCTGTAGTCTCTGTAGTATCTGGAGTCTGTAGTCTCTGTAGTCTCTGCAGTCTCTGTAGTCTCTGGAGTCTGTAGTCTCTGCAGTCTCTGTAGTCTCTGCAGTCTCTGCAGTCTCTGGAGTGTCTGTAGTCTCTGCAGTCTCTGTAGTCTCTGTAGTCTCTGTAGTCTCTGGAGTCTCTGCAGTCTCTGGAGTCTGTAGTCTCTGCAGTCTCTGTAGTTTCTGGTCTCTGCAGTCCCCTCAGTCTCTGCAGTCTCTGCAGTATGTAGTCTATGGAGTCTGTAGTCTCTGCAGTCTCTGGAGTCTGTAGTCTCTGCAGTGTCGGCAGTGTCTGCAGTCTCTGGAGTCTCTTTAGTCTCTGTAGTCTGTAGTCTTTGTAGTCTCGGTAGTCTCTGGAGTCTGGAGTCTGGAGTCTGTAGTCTCTGCAGTCTCTGCAGTCTCTGTAGTCTCTGCAGTCTCCGGAGTCTCTGTGGTCTCTGCAGTCTCTGTAGTCTCTGGTGTCTGTAGTCTCTGCAGTCTCTGCAGTCTCTGCAGTATGGAGTCTCTGTAGTCTGTAGTCTCTGTAGTCTCTGTAGTCTCTGCAGTCTCTGGAGTCTGTAGTCTCTGCAGGCTCTGTAGTCTCTGCAGTCTGTAGTCTCTGTAGTCTCTGCAGTTCCTGGAGTCTGTAGTCTCTGGAGTCTCTAGTGTCTGGAGTCTCTGCAGTCTCTGTAGTCTGTAGTCTCTGTAGTCTCTGTAGTCTGTAGTCTCTGCAGTTCCTGGAGTCTGGAGTCTCTGTAGTCTCTGTAGTCTGTAGTCTCTGCAGTTTCTGGAGTCTGTAGTCTCTGTAGTCTCTGTAGTCTGTAGTCTCTGTAGTCTCTGTTGTCTCTGCAGTCTCTGCAGTCTGTAGTCTCTGTAGTCTCTGGAGTCTGTAGTCTCTGTTGTCTCTGTAGTCTCTGTAGTCTCTGCAGTCTGTAGTCTCTGGAGTCTGTAGTCTCTGGAGTCTGTAGTCTCTGCAGTCTCTGCAGTCTCTGCAGTCTCTGTAGTCTGTAGTCTCTGTAGTCTCTGCAGTCTCTGTAGTCTCTGGAGTCTGTAGTCTCTGCAGTTTCTGGAGTCTGGAGGCTCTGTAGTCTCTGTAGTCTGTAGTCTCTGCAGTTTCTGGAGTCTGGAGTCTCTGTAGTCTCTGTAGTCTCTGTAGTCTCTGTAGTCTGTA